GACTGTCTTCTGTATTAGATGAATTGTTGTACACACACATTTACTATTTGTTTTGTTTATGACTGTCTTCTGTATTAGATGAATTGTTGTACACAGACATTTACTATTTGTTTTGTTTATGACTGTCTTCTGTATTAGATGAATTGTTGTACACAGACATTTACTATTTGTTTTGTTTATGACTGTCTTCTGTATTAGATGAATTGTTGTACACAGTACATTTACTATTTGTTTTGTTTATGACTCTGTCTTCTGTATTAGATAAATTGTTGTACACATACATTTACTATCTAATACAGAAGACAGAGTCATAAACAAAACAAATAGTAAATGTATGTGTACAACAATTTATCTAATACAGAAGACAGAGTCATAAACAAAACAAAGACAAAACAAATAGCAACAATTTATCTAATACAGAAGACAGTCATATACACATACATTTACTATTTGTTTTGTTTATGACTCTGTCTTCTGTATTAGATGAATTGTTGTACACATACATTTACTATTTGTTTTGTTTATGACTCTGTCTTCTGTATTAGATAAATTGTTATACACATACATCTTTTTTTCACTTTTTATTGTTTCTTATAACAAATTTCTAGTTTTCAGTTTGTTATGAGTTTACCAGTTAAAGTAGAATGATGATTCTGAAAACTACTTGTTCTGAAATAGTATTCATAAATTCAAATCTTATTAGTGATATTAATAGAGATATATTTGTAGTATATCCAGCACGGTTACAAATTAACCACATCGGTTCAGCATATAAATTGCTTACATTTACATTACAGAAAATTACATGTACATACTCAGTGCGTGAACTGAGAAAGGTACAGTGGGGAACATCATTCCCCTTTTGAAGGAAAAGAAGAAAAAACTGAATATCAAGCACTTGAGTTTGAGAGCACACATCAGTGAGAAGAGTTCAGTTACTTTTTTACAAATCAAACTGGTTATGAATGAGCAAGCTCTCTATTATATGGAAATTATTTAGTATTGGCCTTTTAAGATTTTAAAATGACTTGCAAGGTAATTACTGGGCCTATTTTTACTTTCTTTGCAACTGTTTAGAAAATTCAAAAGTACATGGTAGATTGTTGATGTTATTGTAGCCTTAGGTCAACATGTATTTGTAAGTTGAAATATCCATTTTTTTATATATTCATTTAAAAATCACAGATGTACAAAATACTATACAAAAGAGACTTATTTATTATTCTTGTACAAAATAGACTTACCTATTTATTATTCTATTCCAGGCTGGTTTCTTGTGTGGAAACTCTTCTTATCACGATTTGCATTTGTTCGTGAGCTGCTTATGTCAAATAATGGAAGCGTTGAAGAATCAAGAAGTAGAAGTAGGGTGAGAAAAGTTAGAGTGGAATGATAAATTGATCTTTGTGTTACAAAAACCCTATGAAAGTTGATGCAGTAGAAATCAGTCTTTGTGTTACAAAAACTCTACAAAAGTTGGTACACTAGAAATCATTCTTTGTGTTACAAAAACCCTACAAAAGTTGGTACACTAGTACATTTCAGAGTGTTCTGTTATGTTTGTTCTGTATCTGAATGAATTACTAAACATTTAAAATAAGATGACTTGCTTCAGAAAGTAAGAAAAAAAAAACTATAAAAAAAGTTGTCTTGTTACCGTGGAAAATAGAAATCTATGAAAAATTTAGGGAGTTCTGTTTGAGTCTTGTTTTTATGGAGAAATTTCAACCGAAAACTATGGATTTGAAGAATTTGTGTAGGTTTATTTTACTACTTTAACTGTGCCAAAATCTTTAAAAGATAATGTAAGATCAGTGTAGGGCATGAATTACTGAAATAAAATATTAATTTATTAAAATGAACATTAAACTGAAATAACAACCTGCTTGGATCTTCAATAATGTGTGTAATATAACATCACGGCAAGTTTAAACCTTTTCAGTTTTGTTTACATTTCCACATAATACTCTGCTTCAGACAGTTAAAGGATAATTGAAATTTGTACATATATATATATAGCTATGACAAGATAAAAAGCAGTTATAAAATGTGTTCATAATGTCTCCAAGTTCATTGCTAAAAAAGTTAGGCATCTGATAGTTAATCATGTGATCTTAAATGGAAATGATTGGATGTTCAGCCTATATGATATATATATATATTGTCTTAGAGAATACAAATGGAAGTCAGTCAGTCACAGCAAGCTATTGAAACTGTTACAGACGCTGAGGTTAAATCAGACGTCCATTGCCACATCCGGTTGCCATGTCAATGATGGTTAAAAACTGATCTGAGAAGGCCATTTTATATGTCATATGTCCAGTGAGATGCACTATGCTCACAGCAAGGCATAAAACAACTTGCTTGTAACAGTGTCCGTGAATATGTCCAGTGGACTAACAATGAGTAAAGAAGTATGATTTTTACAGAGGCGTTGTACTTGATCCTGCAGTCATGTAACAGGTCAATTCTCATATGTTGTACTTGATCCTTCAGTCATGTAACAGGTCAATTCTCATATGTTGTACTTGATCCTTCAGTCACTGTAACA